AGAATTCAATGGCAGTCTCCCATCCAAGGACTAATCAGGACTGACTCTGCTTTGCTTCCAATATCTGATAGGATTTGGTGTCGTTAGCCCCTTGAACCCCTTTCTGAAGACCATAGCACTGTTGAATTTCAAGAATTCAGAAGGCAGCTAACATGAACAAACAAGAGACTACTTCCTTTTCTCATGGAGCATAATGCATGATCCATCAGCAGTTTCCATTGTACATGGATTCTTCCTTCTCAGATTTTTTAAATGTTGGAACAAGTGCCAGTTCACACAATGAACAATAGCTGCATGTTGAACTTGACTGAAGATATTTCGGGTATTTAGGCAACATTTTTCTTTGGTTTATTAGACCATGTTGTGTTGGCTGTGTCTTCCCTCCACCTCAATATGTCTGTTTTATCACTTCCGTCCCATTCATTGAGAAATACATACAAAAGCTCTCCCCATACATCTACCCCCATAATATTTATGTCAGGCTTTTACTTGCTGCAATTTATATAGTTTTGTAAAACAGTTCTACCCCATGTTGCAGGCTGATTCATGAGCTGCTGAATTTCAGTTTGTATTTCTAGTTTTGTTGTTCCTACTTGTTTTGGCTACTGTTCTGCTACAGCATTCCATAAAGACATGTTTCCTATAAAGATACTTTCTGAGGAAATGATACATTTTCAGGTCTGAAATTAGATTCCAGCTGGTCAGCTGCAGTGTTTGGAAATAGCTATTGCTTCAAAAACGAATTCCAGAAGTACAGGCAGTCCCCAAGTTATGAACAAGATAAAGTTCATGATGAGAGTTGAATGAAAAGTAATGCCTCCACCTTCGTAACTCCTCAACAGATGGCAGTACTGGTATGGGGAAGGTACTAGCTTATTCAGGAGACTCTCCTCTATAGTTCCATTTTGACGAGAAGCCTTAGCATTGAATGGTTGTGTTGTTAAAGTGTGAAGTATGGAACCCTGTGCAGACGGTCGGTCAATGTGACTTAAGAAACATGCAATCATTGAATTCTTGACAGCAGAAGGTGTCATCCCAAAGGAGATTCATCAGAGAATGCAAGCTGTTTGTGGTGACTATTGATGTGGGTACTGTGCGTCGTTGGGTGAGAAAGTTTAAATATGTTGAGGTGGGAACATCTGACTTGCGTGACACATAGTTGGATATCCTGTGACAGCAACCACCAAGCTTCACAAGCAAAAGTTTGACAGATTGATTCAGGATGATCATCGTATCACTCAGAGAGACATTTCAAGCATAATCAGCATTTCACAAGAATGTGTGGGTCACATTATTGCTTTGCTTGGCTATCGGAAGATCTGTGCATGATGGGTACTCAGGATGCTGATGCCTGAAATGAAAGCACATAGACTTCAGAGACTGGATCTCACCACCATACAATATCCTCCATACAGTCCAGATTTAGCACCGTCTGACTTTCATCTGCTCCTGATAATGAAAGAAGATCTGCGGGGACATCATTATGCTTCTTCTGATGAAGATGTTGAGAGAACTGTGAGACGCTGGTTATGGAAACAGAATGTCGACTTCTTCCGTGACGGCTTCAGAAAACTTGTTCATTGTTGGCAGAAATGTATCCAATTGCCTGGTGATTATGTGGAAAAGAGAGTAGTGGTAGTTAAAGAGCACATTCTAAGGATTATTCCTGCATTTGATTTATTTTAAAATATTCCCATCCAAACCCAAGTAAGAAAGGTGGAGGCATTACTTTTCATTCAATCCTCGTAAGTTTGTTAAGTTGAATGTGTATCTAAGTCAGAACAGGTACATTTTTAAGTGTAACTCCAGTCATATATTTATGCAAGCTTTGGATAGCACAGGGAAGAGTGGACACCCATGTGGTGTTTGTTTTTCTGTCTGTGCCCCTGTTCAAAAGATTTCACCTCACTTTCTGTCCTTGTGAATATTGGAGTTTGAAAAAAATGGCTTGTTCTGGAAATAAGGATTAGGAAGAAAGTTTCAGTGGAGACATCTTTTCCCAATGATAACTCTTTCAGGAATAAATTTCCTTTCTGAAGGGTAAATTATTCTCACTTTCTGTTGTCTCAGCCCTGTTTTTAACTATGAGTCATTTGTAAGTTGGGTGTTTGTAACTCAGGACTGCCTGTAAACCCATATACAAGATGGCCATGATCGAATATTCCTTTAGCAAAGGAAAAATATTCTCCAGCATGGCTATGTTGCATTTCGATTTATATGACCTGTCATGGACTGCCATGTTCTTGAACTCACCCTTTGCTTAATGGCCGAGTTCCTCCCCATCCACCAAGTCAAAAGTGAGAAGAACGCCAACTTATGTAACATGAGGAATGGGTACATCTGTGCAAACTCTGAAAAAGCTCAAGTATGCGTATTTGTATGCTTTCCCAGCATCCCAATGGAATTTTACCCATTGTGGCATTTTTTCCAACCTTGCTTTGACCCAGGCACATTGACACCTCTAAAAAATATGCACAACCACACTTCTCCTACAAACAATGCTGGAATACCACAGTACACCAACTTTCTCTATTTCTCCATTCAAAACTTCATTTTGAAAAAAAAAGAAGAGTTTATTGTCGAAGGCTTTCATGGCCGGAATCACTGGGTTGTTGTAGGTTTTTCGGGCTGTGCGGCCATGTTCTAGAAGCAGTCTGTTCTAAAAGCAGTCTGAGGTGAGACCTCACACCTCTGAGGATGCCTGCCATAGATGCAGGCGAAATGTCAGGAGAGAATACTTCTAGAACATGGCCATACAGCCCAAAAAACCTACAACAACCTAAAGAAGGGTTTGTTTCAAAAGTTTTAATATCTGTTTTCATGTCTAAAATCTGTTTTCATGTTGTCCAAACTAAGGTTGATTCAGTAGCACATATTTAAGAGCAATGCAGGAATGAAGTATATATACATTCCCTTTGCATGATTATAAAAAGTATCACCCACAGACAATACCTAGATGTTGACCCTCAGCTTTACTGTGAAAGCCTTGTGAGTCGCATTCATTGTTTCAATTATCTCATTCTCTGTGTTGAAGAAACAAGTTTCTTAGTAAATTATTTTTATCTATTTCACTCTGTATTGCACCACCTGACATCTGTCAGGAAGTAGCAGCCTGTAATGAAATGACCAAGGCATTGATATCTCTGGCCCATACACTGTTCGGATATCAGCCAGCAAGCCGACGCCTTAAATAAAGAAACAGCTTCCTAAAATCCACAGAGACCTTAGGCAGGCTATAACCCAGAACCTCAATCTATGGTTGATACCAGAGGAGAAACTCCTCCCTGGACACACAGAAGACTGGGTGACTTGGAAGGCACCAAACACACTGCGCTCTGGCACTACAAGATGCAGAGCCAATCTTAGGAAATGGGTCTACAAAGTAGAGTCCACAACATGCGAGTGTGGAGAAGAGCATACAACAGACCACTTACTACAATGCAACCTGAGCCCTGCCACATGCACAATGGAGGACCTTCTCACAGTGACACCAGAGGCACTCCAAGTGGCCAGCTCCTGGTCAAAGGAAATCTAGTATAATGCCATGTTTTTAACCTTGTTTGTGTTTTTAAATACATTATAACTGTATCCTCAATTTGCTTCTGACACGATAAATAAACAAACTAACTAACATTAACCGCCTCTTTAGGAACTTTTCAGAAACGACGTTCCACTACAGCCAGAAGCATGCAATGAAAAATGACAGCACCAACTCTCTACGTGTCTACTACAAAGTCTTACAAAACTAAATGGGGCTTGAGTCTAGATAAAATAACATCACAGACTAGATTTTTCTACCTGCCCCAAATGGACAACCTGAAAGTAAGCAATTTTGAGAGTGATCTACTTTACATGCAACTCAAATCATTTGTGACAGGGCCATAAGGGAATTACTGACATTCAGAGAAAGCTTAATGGTGTGCATCTGTATGAATTTGTGTAGAACGCCTGCTTCCTTCTGAACATTAGGAACTTAGAACTTGTGCCTAGCACAGAAATGCTCGGATAAAATTGGGGAAATCTTGCGGCTTCATCTGAAGAATCAGATCTTTTCAAGTATAAGACTGAAGTAAGAAGGAGGAGGAGGAGAGGGAAGGGCCACCACAAATTTGTGATATACAGCTCCTGATGCTGTTCACCTTTTCTAGCGTAACCCCCCATAATCATGTAGGCTAGAATCGGTCACTTTGGGGTCTTTTATTTCTTTTGGTAAGATGAAAGGATGACATGCCCAGTGTACTTGCTTTAATAGGAAAGACACTAGATTCTCTGTCTCTCTGGCAGTAGACCAGAAGATGCTTTAGTGAACTGTCACTCGGCCATTTGCAGAAGAAAGTGCTTTCAAGAGCAAGCTGCACATACCAAAGGAAGCATTTGGATTTCAGGCATATGACAATCCAACAACCCAGACACATTAGTTTTTCATTAGGAGAGCCTGTACTTTCAGTGATTCGCAACCTTTCTTTGACTAGGGACCACTTTGATCAGTGACCACTCTTCAACATTAGTACAAAAAGAGTTACAAATCAGTTTATGGTCAACTTTAGATTCAGTTTGATTATTTGGGGTACCGATTCAGAAATTGCATTGGATAGACCACATCAGCTCTAGTTTCTGATACAGAACATATGCCATCCAGTAGTCGCCATCTGCTCACTCACAGAAAACCATATTTAATAAGCCTTGGCAAGACCAGTCACTCTTGTTGCAACGGTGTAGTAACAATGAGGCCACAGACCATATTTTAGTTCTTGCAGACCACTGGTGGTCCATGGACCACAGGTTGGGAACCACTGGTTTAAAAGAACTCTATAGCCAAACAAAAACCCTGGTTCTCTACATTTCTGTTTTGGTTGCTTGGACCTTGGTAATTCTCTTTCCTTTGGAACTGGGAGAACATGATGGAGGGAAAGGGACCTGTTAAGATCCCACAAGCTACGCCAGATAAATAGACCCACCCCCATTTCATTATTTAGAACAAAAGGCATCCAGAGATAATGTGTTGCACATTTTCCAAATTTTAATAGACACGAAAGTGAGTCCATTTCAACTTAAGACTACACTGATTTCCATTCTATTGCATGTCCCTTCTCAAAGAGTGTACAGAAACTGGAGTAAACAGTTTTGCAGCGTTAAAAACAAAGTGTGAGAGATCTTGTTAAGTCAAAGCAGCAGCAATGTATGTGTAAATCGGAGAGGGGGGGGGGATTATCAAGAATAGCTATCATTTCATAGGTAAATAAATACATTCCAAGTTGTAGTATTTCATTAGGATCCTACTTTGTGGAAACATTACTCGCCAAGTTTGCTTCTTTTGGGTTAAGTAGCCCTATGACTTTTGGTCAGACTAGCTTCTGGAAGACTTCCTGAGCAGTCCAGATGCCTTTTTTTTCTCTTTTTCACAGGTGAGTGAGCCAGACCAGTCTGAAAACGTATCCTGCCGCCATGTGCACTGAAACCTGAAGATTCTCCCAGGGAAGCAAGTCAGGATGTTTACAGACTTTGTGAAACTCTAGGACAGCTGTGCTCTTAGCTTCGGTTACCTTGAAGAAAGTGAAAGAAGCAAGAGGTTACTGAGAGTGACAACACAGTCATCGAACACAAGAACGGTACACACAGGCATCCCTCTAAATATAGTACAGAACCTCACTGTCTAAACCTGTCACAGCAAACTGGAGCACCACAGACACCATTTGTATTGAAGCAAAAGTCACAGTGGAACTCATTCTTCTGAAGGAGAGTCATCGTCAAAAAACACATGGAACTGGAGATAAAAAATGGTTAGCAATCTGCCCTGAAAGAGGAAAAAAAGCTAATATTCATAATATCTTCACATTCCTGGCAGCAGATGAAAAGTTAAGTTATTACAATAGTTTTTGCTCCAATCCTTTCTTTTGAGGGTCATACATGAACAGACGGGGAAATACATTTTACTCTACTCTTATTTTGAAAAATAAGTAACTTGTGGAAGTTGCTTTGACATATATAATTCTCAAAGGCAAATTCACTGTTACGGTTTCAATTGCGAGTCTTCCTTTCTGTTACAGTAAACAAAAATCAAGTTTCCTTTATTCACATCCAACAAAATATGTCCTCTCTAAACGTTTTCTAAGCCCTACAGTGAGATTCCATAGTAGGGGTATCAAACCCATTTTCACAGAAGGCCACAACAGGATTACAGTTGCCTTCATTGAGTCCATGGACAGGGAATCCATGGATACAGTAGGACAACTATAATTTTTTTACATTGACTTCCCAGATGCTATTGAATGACAATTCCCAACAGCATTTGTGGCTCTGAGTTTGGGAAAATGTTAAAGGGCATTTTAAAACAAGACAACATATTTACAAGCCTTCGATCTAAATTCAAACCCCACTACCCTGGCTAAATGGAACAAACTGCAGCCTTCCAAATATTTGTTGTTGTTGTTTATTTGTTCAGTTGCTTTCGACTCTTTGGGACCTCATGGACCAGAGCTTTCTGTCAGCTGTTGCCACCCCCTCACCTCTAGACATGATGTCTAATGAGGAGGAATACAGGAGTTGCAGTCCAGTATCTGGAAGGCCACATAAAATGATATTGTGGGCCAAATTCAGCCTGCGGGAATTGAGTTTCACATATTTGTTCCATGGTATTCTTGGATAGGTTTTCTATTTCAATAGGATTCACAATTATGTGAAATTTTGTGTGTCAACATGAAGTCTGGGCATGTATTCCTCACAAATACAGGTGTTGTACTGTACACATATTCTCTACCTTGTAAGAATTATTTCAGGTTTCCTTATGAGCTGTAGCCAACAGTGATTATAGTAAGAAATGTTTCTCTACACCTGCTATTTAGCTTGCTATGGATCTCAATAACTTACCTGGTTTCCTTCATGAGGTTCTAAAGCAAGAACAATTTGGAGGTAAAAGGATATCAGTACATCTGTGGGATGGTGAAAATAGTCTGTCCCAACATGCATGAGTTGTCACATTTTCTAGAGAAGTAGTTCCCAACTGTTGGTTCTCCAGTTGTTTTGGATTTCAACTCCCAGAAATCCCAGTCAGTTTATCAGCTGTTAGGAATTGTGGAAGTTGAAGTTCAAAACAACTGGAGGACCAAAGGTTGGGAAGCACTGTTCTACACAGGAACAGTGCTATGAGCTACAAACAGGTCTGAGGTCCCATCCCACAGAATTCAAGCAAATGACAGCAACCACCTTAGCCCTTTGCCTTTTCTACTCCATGGTTAATAACTTCCAGTTCCCAACACCAGTAGTTCTACTGATGGATACCAAGACACTCTTTGGAAGTCACTCATATCTAATCTTCAGAGGAGCACATACAAACATTTCGTATGAAATCAAATATTCTGGAAACTTATCTAACTGGGATGGGGGGAACAAAAAAAATCTTGTTCTCTTGTCCAAATGTTACGAAAGGCAAAAAGCTTAAGAGAGCAGAATAAAGAAATATTACTGTTCGGTGAAACCCTTGAGACAAGGGCGGAACTCTGTAATACAATTTATAAGAGCAAGGCTTTTTCAAAACACCCTTGTTAGGAATAAATTCAGCATCGTGAAATGTTATTTATTTTATAGCTTCCTATGCTTGTGAAATAATCCTATTTGTATTTCCTCATATTGTTCTGTAAATAACAAGTCCACAAACTACAGAACTAAAGAAGGTACTGATTTGTTGACTGTAGTATTTTAAAACCTGTATTTCTTAAAAAACTCTGCCTCCTCTAAACAACTATCTACGATATTTCCAAAACAAATTCTGTAGGAAAAGCCATTTGATGAAGAAGCCACTGATGTAAGCAAATACTCTATATTTAAAATGTCAAAACAGATGGTTTTTGAAACTGGAAGAAGAACCTGTGATAAACATTTCAGTACCAGACTGCACTCAGGCACCACGAGATGTAGAGCCAACCTTAAGAAATGGGGTTATGAGTGTGGAGAAGAGCAAACCACAGACCACTTATTACAATGCAGCCTGAGCCCTGCCACATGCACAATGGAGGACCTTCTCACACCAACACCAGAGGCCATCTTCTGGTCAAAGGACATTTAATAGAATGCCAAGTCTGCAAACTTTGTGTTTTCTCAAATATATTACAATTGTACCCTTGGTTCGCTCCTGATACGATAAATAAGTAAGAATTTGATGATATGGCAATATGGATTTCCAAGTTTTCAAGATGTAGGGAAACATCCACACAATACAATGGGCTAAGTTCAACTCTTAGTTCCAACTAGAGTAAATCCATCAAATGGGTTAAAAACTTGGTAAATCAGCACTTATGTAAGTTCCATTGATTCAATCAGTGCTACTAGCAATGCATTTATTCAAAATTAGAGAAGGAAAAGAGGTAATGAAGCATCCTTTCATAATATAGCTAGATTCCCAAGGCAGAAAGATCAACCTGTTGCCAGTCAGCTTAGTACTCACTCTCAAAAGTCTCTTGGAACTAAATATCATTAATACATTTAAGTCTGATTTTTGTTTTATATCTTAAGTTACTGTATATACTCGTGAATAAGCTGAGTTTTTCAGCCTTTTTTTAGGCTGAAAAAGCCCCCCTCGGCATATATTCGAGTCAAGGTTATTTATTATTTTACTCTATTTATTATTATTATTACATGTATGATTTTATTCTATTATTATTACATGCATTATTTTACTCTATTTATTATTATTACATTTATTATTTTACTCTGTTATTTTTGTTAATTTATGATTTTACTCCAGTATTATTGTTATTACTACATTTATGATTTTACTCTCTTTATTATTATTCGAAGGATACGTAAGCACATTTACATTGAAGAAAGTTGAAATAATTGTTTAATCAGTTGGACAGTCTTATCTTAAATTACAGTTTTATGTAAATATTCAATATTCAGTTTTATGTAAATATTCAAAATATTTAATCTACCAATACCTCAATGAATGTAATTTTATTGATATCTATTTTTATTTGGAAATTTACCAGTAGTTGCGGCATTTCCCACCCTTGGCTTATACTCGAGTCAATACGTTTTCCCAGTTTTCCCAGTTTTTTTTTGTGGTAAAATTGGGTGCCTTGGCTTATATCTGGATCGGCTTAAATATATACAATATGTCAGGTTGTGCTACTTTTTCCTGCTTTACAATATGAAGAAATAAGATCCAAAGCAAACTGAACGTAACAAAATGCAGTCTATTGATTCCTTAAATAACCAAGACACTCCCCTTGAAACAAATGTTTCTTTCATAAATCCACTTGAATGGAGACAACCCAAAATATCACACTTTAGCAACAATCAAATGCTAAAGTCCATTGTTTTTGGAAAACAAAGGAACAATTTTGGATACTCAAACCATACAAGCCAGGCCCTGAAGCTGCCAAGATATATCAGATAACACAACTACTTTCAGTTTATAATTTTGAAAACAAAAACAATGGCCACCAAATATTTACAAAACTTTAGACTAGACAACAAAGACATCAAAACAGCTGAAGATTTTCTATACCTTGGCTCAGTCATTAATCAGGCTGTAGACAAGAAATCAAGAAATGTAGGCTGTAGACAAGAAATCAGAAGAAGGCTAAGACTTGGAAAAGCAGCTATGAAAGAACTAGATGTATAAATTGTAAAAAAATGTAAAGACATTATTAAATATGAAAGTCATAACTATTCACAGCATATTATTTCTAATTTTTATGTGACTGCAAATTAGACAGTGAAAAATACTGAAAGTAAACTCATTTGAAATGTAGTGCTAGAAGAACTTCACAGCTACCATAGTGTGGACCCCCCCCCCCCAAACACACAAATAAATGTGCCTTAAAGCAAATCAAAAACTTGAGAAGATGCATCATTAAAATACCAAAGATCAAATCATCCACATCACAATATTTCTGATTTTTATGTAAGGATATGGAATCTAGTGAAAAGAGAGAAAGGCAATTTTGAAATGTGGAAATGAAGAAGTTCCACAGATGTCATGAATTGTCAAAATGTCTTTAAGAGCAAATCAAATCTGAAATTTCTCTAGAAATCAAGATGATCAAACTGGGACTAGCATATTTTGGCCACAGCATGAGATGCTATAACTCATTAGAAAATAGGATAATGCTCAGTAAAGTGAGAGGCACTAGGAAAAGAAAGAAAGCATTACAGGTGGATAGTTTCACCTCAGGTACTGAGTTTGCAGGACCTGAGCAGAACTCTTGATCACAGCAAACCTTGAATGTCTGTCATTATAGGTGAAGCAAACTTAGTGGAAAGTAACAACAACAACAGAGCAAATTAGGCCTGAATTCTCCCCAGGAGCCAATGTGACCAACCTGAGGCTGTTGTATTTTGGCCATCTCATGAGACATGACTGCAATGTTCAGTAAAGTGGAAAGCAACAGAAAAAAAATAATATAAGAATACATTACAGGATTGATTCATCAAGGAAAATGCAGCCCCAAATTTGCAAGACCTGATTAGGTATGATGTTTAGGTCTGTAACCTATAGGTTCATTACTGGTTGAAGCTGACTTGATGGTGAACAGCACTGACA